TGAAAAACAAATATCAGAAACGGTTAGAGTATGTAATTATATGAGAAAATAAAATTGTAGATATAATTAAGTATGTTCCTTCCTCGCTCGCTGACAATATTTTGACAGCAAGGCGCCCGAATATATAGTATATCTTTCATTTAGAGATTACATTGTTGCCGTACTCATTATATTTAAAAACATGATCAATAAGGGCAACGAGGGCCCGAATATCCTCATGTTCGTGTATCATGGTCATGACCGAATACATCGAATTTTATCCATGTACATTCGGCGGCAAGGTGCCCATATCTGTGCCTGCTTTAAATAGTTTCTAGTGTGTTGATTACAAACTATTTTTTTTACCTCCTTTTTTAATTTTTAAATGTGCCCATACGTGTGTTCTTGACGAGTGCCAGAGTCATACAAAATAAATAGTCTGTGAAGACTTTGGGATTTGGGAGAAACTTTTCATTTTTTAAGAGGGTACCGTGACTAACCAGAAGTTAAAATAACGCTGCTCCAGAGAAATTTATTTGTATGCATTTTGAGAAAGCTGGACAATTACCTAAAACTTACATCCTTCGTGGAAATCAGCAACCACACTGGCGTTGCAAAAATTATAATTGAAGGGACATGTGTAGTAATTATGAGGAAGAAATCGTGCTATAGTATTTGAACGAACATGGGTCCATGCATGCAGGGGCTCGTAGCCATCTCTCAATGTGTCAAATCGTCTTTTGCTATTGGATCCTGATTGTCTACAGGAGTAGTTGTCCTAGAGGGTAATTGTCCTCGGGGGTCATTGTCCTCGGGGGATAGTTTTCCTCGGGGTTAGTTTACCTAGGGGGGGGGGGGGGTATTTGTCCTAGAAGGGTAATTGTCCTCGGGGGTAACTGTCCTCGGGGTGGTAATAGTCCTCGGGAGTAGTTGTCCTCGGGGTGTAGTTCTCCTCGGGGGTAATTGTCCTCAGGGGTATTTGTCCTCGGGGGTAATTGTCCGGGTGTAATTGTCCTTAGGGGTAATTGTCATTAGACTGTAATTCACCGGGGGTATTTTTCCGGGGGGTAATTTTCCTGCGGGGATAGTTTCCGGGGGGGGGGTGATTTTCCGGGGGGTGATTGCCAGGGGGTAACTGTCCTAGAACCGTCCATAAAGAAACATATTCAGTTGGATGATAGTACATTTTTATGGCTACGTTAATGTCGAAATAGAATGTGAGAGTGACACAAATCCAGTTGCAGCAGAAGCTCTTGTTTTGTTATGGTGGTACCATTGAATTTATACTGTAAACTTGTATTGCTGGTGTATACTTCTTAATAAGTGAGTGAAAAGAGTTGAACGTGCGAATCTCGTTCAGCAATGCTTGAGTAATTAAGCCAGCAAATATCGAAATATTGATGCAATCTCTGACTTGTGATGGGCCATCATGTCATGTGAAAAAAGTTGGAAAGATTTTGAGCATCTATGAAAGTGCCTGACCTTCTTCTTCTCTCCTTCCCCACCGACTAAACCCAGATAACCATGTCAGTGTCTTTTTAAATATCTGTCCCGTCATCAAACTATAATGAGAAACGCCCTGGCATCAAATGAGATCTTGAAGGATGAGGAGGGGAAGTCTTTCAAATGGGATTATTGGAAGGAGCTGCATGAACTGCAGAAAGATGAAGACTTGCGATTAGGCAACAGAGTACGATTGAGTGCTCACATGGCACATTCAGTGGCAAACAAAAATGAAAGTAAACATTGCTGATAAAACTCTGTGCAGCAGTGTTGCGAATGCAATATGATTTCTCGAAGAGCAGGGACTTCCTCAGTTCAAGGGCTGCAATGCCACAGTAAAAGTATATCACATCTTCGATTTACTGAACTCACGAAATCCATTAGCATGCAACTGTAAAATTATTATTCGTCCATAAAATAAACACTTTTTAAGACCATTCATGACAGATGCTTACAGATACCTCAGTTCCATCACAAAAGCTCATGGAAAATACATGTACATTTACACCACGCAAGACCCTATTCCTCGGCTTTTTGATTGGCATCAAGACCCAGGACCAAAATCCCGTTCAAACTAATTGGAGCAAAACCAATTGAAATCGGTTGCCAACTGGTTTTCTAATAGGGAAATTGGAACAACTGGTTCCAGCTAAAACCAGTAGCCAACTGGATCCAGTTGAAACCAGTTAAACGTTCCCAACTGGTTCTAATTGAATACAGTTGATATTTCCAGTTGATTTACCGATATTGTGATAATCAATAATCAATATTGGAAGCTGGCCACCAACTAAATATATAAACTCTTGCAATTACCCCATCACAATGATCATTTGAAGTGAATTACAGATGTGTTTTACTAGTTAGAATACTGGAGCTCGTATGGTATACATATATACAAAATTAAACATTTTGTTTCTTGGTTAGTGATTACATATATCAATATATCTATGTTTACGTCTTAGATTAGATGAAAAACATGATCAGACATAAGATAAATTTGTCAATGATTGACTAAGACTTTCTTAACATTTTCCCTCTTTATTTCCCCCTTGCCTCTTCCTTATATCCGTTGTTTTCTTTCTCTCTCTCTCTCTCTCCCTGCACCTAATTCCCCCATCCCTTTCTCTCTACTTCTCTGATTCGCACTGTTTTCCTTAATTTTGGCCATCTGGCCGTGAATAATTTCTTATCAGTAAACTGTTGAAAATAAACAAATAAATGTCCCTCCCCCCTAGACAAAATATAAACACGGAGGTGTTCAATAGGCTTATCTTGGAAGAGGATTTTGCTTTTATTCAAATGTTAACAATACTTTTTGTGTATCTTGGTCTGCTACCTTGTTGGGCGTTCAACAATAAGGGATAGAGCAACGTCGAACTGGCGCTGCTCAGTGGCTGCCGGGCTCACGATCAATTTGGCAAAAATAATTTCCGTTTCGGTTTAATAACATTTGGAGTGGACTATTAGGCTATTATTATATGATTATTATTATTATTATGAGTTGCATCAAATGAAAGAGGAGGATCTAAGCTTTCCAATTATTTGTCATTTATCAATTATAATTGTGATTCAGTTATGATACAACATCGATAATTCTCGGTTTCGTTTTATCTGGGACGCACTGTGTATGAAAAAGCCGGCTTAAAACTACACTAGGGACTTTTAGATTTTCGTGGACTGATACGTGTGACGTCCATTGAAGGCAGTGCATTAAAAGGACGTCGATCGTAGCATAGACCTATTGTCTTCGTGCGAATCTAAAAGTCCCTACTGGTGCATCTAAGACGACGGCATATACAACTAATATCAGAATAGCGTATAACTGTGCCATCATGCGCATGGTCGACTGGGCTTTACAAGTTGAAAAGCGGCGGCGTGTGCACTCGAGCGTATTTCCCAGCGCGATCAACGGCCACACGTTTATCTGTGCATTTTGAATGGGGATGAGCGTTCTATGTATTTTCCAGTGTTGTGGTACCGACGCACCACATAAGCCGTGCGTATTAGTACAGTTTCTGCCAAACATGCCAAATTTGTGAAACTTCCATAACATCCTGAAAATGCTCTAAGACGACTAAAAAAGAAATGAAATGATCAACAATACCTTCTTGATGCAGAATAACAGGTCCAATGTCACCTCTGAAGCTAATTTGGTTGAACTTTTGACGTTTTTTTCAGGACAACACAATCCTATTTCTAAACGTATTTATGTGATTGTACTTTACGTACAGCCGGCCGGTGGAGTGGCGTTGGCAAAGAAGTGGAGGTACTGCGATATAGATCGATAGTTATGAGTGGATAACTATTATCTGTTCATGCTATTGTTTTCTTTTGTTGTAAATTGGGTTGTTAACCAAAGCGATCTGTCTCCCTCTCTCTTTAAAGGGGGAGGAGAGTATTATACCACCACTCAATTTGGGTTTACTGTCTCTCTCTTTCTTTCAAAATCTTTCTCAATTTTAATTGTTGGACAATACGTTGATGTCAGTTGATATATGATTATTGGTCCTGTGAAGTCCTATGTACCCTTTAATTATGTTTAAATGTGATTGCTCTTGAGTGTTTTTTTTCTTCTTTTCATATCTATGTATTTAAAGTGTCAATTTATACAGTTTTATGGTACAAAGTATATATACATATAATTATATTGTGAACCATTTATATGCCTGCCTTTTTTACTGTATGAAATTCAACTTATGGTTGCAATAAATGAAAGATTTAATATGATTGTTGGTTTCTCTCTCTCTCTCTCTCTCTCTCGCGTTCTCTTGGGTTTCATAATAGAGGTATTGTCAATAATTGTTGATGGGTTTGAATTAGAGAAATATATCTCTCCTTGACGATGTAGGCAGCTCTCCCAATGTGCTCTGATCAAGGATTTCTTAGGGGTAGGGGTCAACATTTGAAATTAATTTGAAATTTAGTGTCCTAAAATTTGAAAATCGTGCCGGCCAATACTTTGCTCAGTGGGGGAGGGGGGGGGGGGGGTAGTGAGCATTTTTTTTTTTGGGGGGGGGAGCCCTCGGAAATTTGAAAAATCGCATGGAAATTTGAAAAAACATGGATAATACTACTTTTCAAGGGTTTTCTATGACGAGGAATTCATTTATGACACCGGTTCTTTTTTTAAACATAATGGCCCGAATTCACAAAGCAGGGTTTGAGCTCAGACCAAGGTTTATGTGCGTCATATGACGCGTTTCAGGTTTGAGTTCAGACCTTGGTCTGAAATGCATTTCATAAAGCCGGTTTGTCCTCAGACCAAGGTTTATGTACCTCATATGACGCGTTTCAGGTTTGAGTTCAGACCTTGGTCTGAAATTACATTTTACAAAGCAAGGTTTGTCCTCAGACCAGGTTTATGTACGTCATCAGACCCGAAATTTACAGACTGCTCAGATAGGAGGTTTGTAATTTCTCAAACCTGGTTTGAGAGCTATCAACCAATCAGGATGCAGCACTGGGTGGAGATAATTTATGCTCGATTGATTTTATCCAAATAATTCACCGCCAAAACAATCTGCGAGTATCTGGTCAGCCCGATTTTAGTGCAATTGAAATCTCTCAATCTCTCGATCCTTTCCTTAAAATCGTAAGTATAAAACCTGTACATGTAGTCGAATTCATACTCTTCACGTTATTTACATTTCACTATTTGATATGCTTTATAACTTTCCATTTTCCATGAAATGTTCGGTGTTTTCATATCCGACGGCCTCTCAATTCCAGAGTTCAGGGACTGAGGGAGCTCGAGTCCAACGCCCAAGGCGGGCCGTAGACCTCTTCTAGATATCTGAGTATGACTCACTGTCATGTTTAATTTTGTCTTGTTGTCAGCAATGCCATGACACATGCCAATTAGACTAGGCCTAGACTAGACCTACACTAGTTATTACAAATTCATGATATTGATAATAATACCAGGCTCTAGCCTAGGCCTGGCAATGATGTCCATCACTTGACTAGGACAGTGTAGGCCTACCTAAATAAATAGAAATTGAAATGGCATCAGCAATGCCAATGTTCCCCAAAATGAATCACACTGACAAGCATAGACCAAAAGCTTCAGTCTCTCTATATTGCCGGTTGTTCACTGAGACTACGTCTGGCTCCACTAGTAGACCTTCGATTATAGAATGTCAACAAATGTCAGTTTTATTATTTTTATGAAAGAAATGACCCATATCAGACGGTTATTTCTGTATATGAGTCATGACAAGCAAAGCTTTTATTAAATTTAGATCTGGTTCTAATTGTCTTAATTAACTGGCTTAGTTTCCAGAGCGAGGATCACCCACAAAGTCACAAGCACAAGTAACATTTCTTTATTTTAAAAACATTGTTTAAACATTTGTTTCATTTTATCTTCACTCCAGTAAAGATGGTAGAAATGCAGCTGATTCAGCATAATGAGCTGGTGTACCCGGAGGAGGAGCTGGAGCAATATATAGCAGCACAACCGGGCAGAGGCCTCTGAGATTGGAAAAACCCGCTGGATGATGAGCCTTTTGTTTTTAATAGATTGAGGTACTTTTAATTCAAATTCTGTATTGGGAAAGTTGGCGAAAACATGGCCAAACTACTTGATGAACATAATTATCATAGCTATAAAAAAGGGCTTCTGTTGTAAAATCCAACCCTAGTGTCGTTGTTAAAATCCAGAAATATTTCAATTCATGTTGACCGCCTAAATTCACTGTTCATGTGCCCCGCTCCGCTGGTCTGCCTACGACCGTGCAAGCCCCTAATGCCATGCACATGTGCGTTTACATAAATTTATTGAATTTCTAAGCATTTTCTGTCATATTCCATACATTGAAAGATTAGTTGTGATATTTATTCTTTTACATGGTAGGTGATGAAAGCATTAATTGTCATAATTTGTGTGTGGGGCATTTCCCAATACTGTTATTTGGCTTTAATACATGAGGAAATTATTCAGATTATGTGTTGGAAACAAGTTTGTGATTTGTTGCTTAAATTTCACAAAAGGTAAAGCCGTGAAGGAGATTAGAAAAGGCATAGACAATTTTGTCTTTTACGTTAAATTGATTCACACCACATCTAGAAATCAGGATATTTTTTTTTACGTGACAGTGACAGTTGGGGATGCAATAATATAATAGCATAAACCAGCCAAAAAATGATTTATTTGAATGCTTGTTTTTTTTATTTTTTAAAAAAAGGTAATTCCATCTAAAGGATGCACGGTGAGGAGGCGGCGTGCCGTGTCACATTCATCTGTTTGCCGAATGGAGAGTAGTGAGGGATGTTTCCGAAGCTGTTGTCAGAAGAAAGGGACAAGTCATGAAGTTTCCTACAAGTTACAACAAGGCAAAAAGTGACTATTATTCAGAAGCAGTTTTTCCAGCACTGCAGATTTCCAGGAGTTGCTGTTGATGGGACACATGTTTACATCAGGAGCCCTGGTGGGGCAAGAGCCAGGTACTACTTCAATATGAAGAACAGGTACTCCTTTAGACCTTTTTTTTGTACCTTGCAAAATTTTCACATTAGATATATACACTCTCCAGTCTTGTGTGTTGTACATCCATGCTAATTCATTGGTGACCAATGCAAGATTTCTAGTGGCCAAATGGATATTAAAGTAATATTCCCGTACTGGTACTCATTTCACTGCCTTTGTACACAGTTAAGAATATCCAATGGATAGTTAAACTTAAAAATCCTAACACTCGTTAATATCTTTTTAACGAAAGGGAAATTTGAAAAATCAAAACTTGTTCCATCCTTCTATTGGCAATGCAGATATGACCTCTAGATTTCTGATATTATGTTGATGGCCATGGCAATTGGGCCACTGTTTTTGCCATTGATCAATGAAAGAAAAAACAACAAAGAGAAGCATGTAAATTGATCAATGGCAATTACCAATATATTTTAAACTATAGAAAAACAAACAGGTTCATTTACCATAAAAAGATGAGAGAGTGGGTACCCCCTCTCCCCCCCCCCCCACACACACACAAAGCATTTGTTGTTTTAGGCTCGAAATGTTTTGTTAAAAGTGAGATTATTATTTTTGTTTACATTGTTACAAGATAAACAATGAAAACATGAGTTAAAAATGAAGAAATACTTCATCAGTCAATAAATATAGGGTAATTAGCATTTTCTTCCATTTTTTGTTGTATAAATAGATATTAAAAAGCAATTATCACACATTCAACTGCATTTGCATTAATTACCATAAATAACAAGTGAAATTTATACATTTCACGGCCTATCTGAAGTGTGAAATGAGTGAGTTTTCATAACTAATGAATTTCATGTTGACAGGTTGTCTGTGATTATGCTGGGAAAATAACTAGTATCGTTGCAAGGTGGCCTGGACTGGTAGCAGCCACGATACCAGGATCTTTTCTGGGTGTGCACTGAATTGACAGCTTCATGCTAGGGCATATGATTAACAGTTGATTCTTGGAGATAGACTATAGGGTAGGTAGATTATTTCTTTATATGAAAACATTCGTTTATTCTTTTTCTTAATCAATCTTGTTTCCTTTTTTGTATATGGCCAACATGTTACATGTTAGGAATGTTCATTTGGTAATATAGTAACAACTCGCATTAAGTAATTAATTCAAATAAGCTCATGTGCTTTTAAATTTCAGTTCACCAATCATAATTAATGTTTTTGATATCTGGATGCAACTTGATTAGTTTGTTGTCAAGTGGAACCTCATAGTTTTTGTATTAGTGACACAGGATTGAATAATTCCTGATTATGTGTACAATACATTGTATCCTTTTCTATAGTATTACCCCCCCCCCAACCCCCTCCAAGAAAAAAATGAACAAGTTGAAATTAAGAATATTGTTTATGATATTGTTTATTTTGTCCATTCGATTTTGCAGGTATCCATGCCTTCTCTGCCTCATCAGAAGCCATTTCGTCATTCAGAGGGTCGACCACAGATGTGCTTTAAAGGCCATCTGTACTAGTTCAGCCAAAGAGGATTAGACAACCCAGCGAGGTCACTGACGGGAGGCTATCTCATCAATTCAGTTCTCAATTAACATAAGAAAAAGAGGATCATGGGGGATTAACAGGCACAGATTGGGGAAGTTTTCTATATAGAGGGAGCAAGTAGCTACAAGTAGTACAGTGGGGCTTTAACACTTCACACACACAAAAAGGGAGATGTGTGATTGAGCGCATATTTATTAAATGCAAGGATGAGGACGTTCCATGCCTCATCAATATAAGAGAGAAGGTCGACACTTCTTAATTATTTTTATGCTTTCCTGTTGCCCATATTGGGGAAATTCACGTTGTGCAAATATAGCATTGGTTTGGCCAAGTATAGCATAAAAAAACTACCACTGGAGCTTACTAACAAGCATTTATTGCTTTCTTAGCTGTCAAGTAAAATAACCACCACTATCTATCTATTTAGTGAGCTATACATTATTTAATTAAGGATTCCACAAAAATGTTCAATGTATACGGTAATAAGTTATAAAATACAGATTTAACTCAATTGCAACTGGAATTACCTCAAAACGTATTTCAAAATACGGCCCCTCCCTGGTGTTCCCACAATACTTCGTAGTTATGCAGCATTACATCAAGAACCTGGGTGTTGAACTGTTGATTATTTATGAATATTTTTGATGTTATGTTTAGTTGATAAGTATTTGTTGTCACTCTGACGGTATTTCTAATTAAGTGTTCTCTATAGATTAAATGCACCCGATTTAACTATAATTAGCATTGTATACACTGCTGAGTTGAGGGGTAGGTCAATATAAATTATTTGGTTGTCAGCTAGAGGAGAGAATTCGAACAAATATTATTTACTGTACTAAGCGAAGTCAGAATTAAAGAATTTGTATGTGCAAATTTGAATTTTCGTCACCCATTTTGTTGTGTTTCTGATTTTATTTCTGCTAATAGCGCTACAGTGAGACTTTTAATTGGCCTTCCAGAGCCTCTCTTAACCTCTAGTGGGCTATATTTCATATAAGCATGCTACACAATTTACAAATGTGAACTGCATTGTTTGAATAAACGGTACTATTGTGTTGTATGCTCAATTATTTATGTAAAACATGAAAATACAAATACAATATTCTTGCTTTCATATATTTACAAAGATAACTAAAATAGATGTGTGTCAAATTATCTCTCTCTCTCTTTCTCCCTTTTTTTTTGGGGGGGGGGGGTGCAGATGTGTGTGTTTGCAGTTTGCATGGTTTTGCATTATGCGTTTCATTGCAAAAAAGAAGAAGAAGAGAGAGAGAGAAAGTTGAAAAGAGAGAGAGAGAGGACAAAGAAAAAAATTAATAGAGAGAGAAAGGGAGGGAGAGAGAGAAAGAGAGAGAGAGAAAGATGAATAGAGAGAGAGGGGAGAAAGAAAAAGAATTAATAGAGAGAGAAAAGGAGAGAGGGAGAACAAAATTGGGTAGAAAGAGAGAGAGGAGGGACGGGGACAGAGAAAGAGACAGGGAGGGAGAGAGAGAAAGATGAATAGAGAGAGAGGGAAGAAAGAAAAAGAATTAATAGAGAGAGAAAGGGTGGGAGAGAACAAAAATGGGTAGAAAGAGAGAGGAGGGACGGGGACAGAGAAAGAGACAGGGAGGGAGAGAGAAAGAAAAGATGGCCATAGAGGAATTTTTTTAAATTAATATTATATGGAAACAAATCATTTACCAGTTACAATTTTGATGTGAAAAAATAGCCAGTTGGGGAAACAAACGGGGAACTAGTTAAAATAATAATTGATTGACCATTCTAACAAAATAACTCTATAGATCTATAGTAATTAAAAATTGCAATGAAATGAATTAATATATTAATCACAATAAAAACTTAATTCATATTAAATCATTATTATTATTATTATTAGGTGATTTTATTGATAACAATTTATAGCCCCCAAAACAATAAGACTCTTACAGTTAATTTAAAAGAGCCCTTGACAACCTTAGATGTATTAATCTAACGAAGGTTTTCAGGTGCCGATGTCAATTTGTTCTGGGTCAGATTGAGTGCTTCACCAGCACCACACAAATGTGAGTACGTGGGGCACTTTCTGCATCGGCGCGCCAGTTTGGTTCGATTAATTCATGAAAATGCAATTCAAAAGTTTATTTCAGAGATGTTCTAACCATCATCTTTTCAAAATTGCTCATTAAGATGTCCGGATCGTACTAAGAATGCTTAGTTTAACAGTTTTTTTCAATTCTTAACATTTAAACCCTAGCCCATAAAAATTATGTTAGAAACCCTATGGCTGAGACTAGTTTTACAAACCTTGGTCTGAGGTTTGGGAATTACAGACCAAGGTTTATACAAACCTTCCTTCGTGGAATGGGTTTGAGGACAAACCAAGTTTGAGCTCAGACCAAGGTTTGTACAAACCTTGGTCTGATCAAACCGGGTTTATCCTCAAACTTCCGTTGTGAATTCGGGCCAATGAGTTATATGTACAATATATAGACTTCGTTCTCATTGTTTATCTAGAAAGCCTGCAAATGGTGCAATGCAACATTTTAAAAAACTTTTTAAAGACAAAACATTAAATCATGAGAAGGTATTCTATTTAGGCGTAGTAAAATTGGCCTAAATAACATAATTAGTAATTTTTTAATCTTTGCATTAATTGATATAGGTCTAGTTTTATCAAGAAAAATCGGGAATGAAAATTATTATATGTGTTTTTTGTTTATGACAACCAATAATTATCTCAGAGGTAAATCATGTTGAATGGAAAATAATTAGGCTTGCTAGCATAATTAACCTAATCATAATATTAATCAGGCAATTGCCTAATGGCCTTGTGGGTTTCTGTCAAACAACGTGATTTACCTCTGAGATAAATATTGGTTGTCATTAAAAAAATAAAAAATAAATGTCATTCCATATTTTTCTGGATACAATTATACCTATGTCAATTAATGCAAATATGCAAATCTATTAATTATGTTAATTAGGCTATATGTACTACATCTACATGGAATATCTTCTCATTAAATAATGTGTTGTCTTCAAAAAGTGATTTACAATGTGCATCGCACCATTTCCATGTTTTCAAGATAAACATTGAGAATTAGGTCTATATATTGTACATATGAATTAGCTCATTATGCTAATTATGCTTTTTAAGACAATTGCATTACTTAAAACATAAGAACCAGTGTCATAAATGAATTTCTCGTCATAGAAAACCCTTGGAAAGTAGTATTATCATGTTTTTAGTCTTCCCGGATTAAGATAAGCAACATTTTAAATATTGCACATATCTTAATTTGATGATTATGCTCATTAGGCTTACAACAAACTTGCCCAAGGTTGCCAAGATGGCAACCAATCTGAATTTACCTCTTAGCCCATCTAGAACATGAATCAACGAGAACACTTGTACTTAATAACTTTTCCATATGCCACATACATGGCATATGGTACCGTCTACTGGACTACTCCCCAGCTCTCTGGCGCCTCTCACTTGGTGTTCTTCCTCTCGATCTCGATCTCATTTTTAATTCGAATTCCTTCTTCTCGTCTTTGTCCAGGTCCCATGTCCAAAAAAGTTATTATCAATTACAAGTTGCAATAACTGTTATAAGATGCTGATATGGCGATATAGTTGTTTGGAAGAGGGCAAATTCATGATGCTCATTTATCTCCTCAGTTCCTTCTCTGATGCCTCGTCCATAATTTCTGCTTCTCTCCACCTAATTTTTACCTCGAATTCCTTCCTCTTGTCTAATTCCGGGGCCCTATTTCACAGAACTTGTCATCAGTGACAAACGACAGTGTTTGTTATAAGTAAATTAAATCCTTGCATTTGATTGTTTATCAGCAGATTTGTTATAGAAATTTAGCATTTTTTTAAATAGAAATTCAACATTTGCTATCGATAACAAATGTTATGAAACAGGGCCTAGAAACGTGCTTGATTTTAATGAAATCAATCTTTTTAACGTAGCCTTGAATTTTAAACCCTCCTCCCCTCTTCCCATGAAGAGCTGAGAATCATGTCGTCATCATGAATAATTAACTAATTAATCTCCCCGTACGTACAAATTCGTACATCACGCCATATTCGGCCTGCAGGACGTACCTGCTAGGAGTAATCAACTTTTGCTCTTGTAGACGCATTATTCAACAAACAGACCACCTTATGTGTTTCTGCATCAGAAACGGATTCAATTGTTAAACATCTGTCACACCTGGCCACTGAAGAAGAGTGTTACACTAACTTTTGTTTTTCTTCTTTTGTTTTCGGACAACTCATTGCCCTCCGACTGCCGGAGGGAGGGTGTTATAGCCTGTTTTGTTTTTTTTCACATTGAGGTGAATTGGAGACATTGAAGGTAATACAAAGTTTTGGGAAATTTTGAAAATTGAGTGGATAGTGATTCTTTACAATGTTGGTATATTTGGATGCCCCATGGGATGTATTATAAGCACTAGAAATTGTAGCCCCTAAAACACTTCTGCTTTCGAGAAAAATTGATTATAAAAATGTACCGGTGCTCCCGGTATATTTTGATAAATTTCAAATAGCGCCTACGGCCGTACAATGGTAGCTGCGACCATGAAAATCTCAGAATATGTAGTTGTGATATAGAATTTCCAAACGGAAATAGCTAATTGGTCGATTTTAGTCAAGAAACATTGTTTTATAGCTGAATTAATATTTTTGACCTTGAGAGGGAGCTATAAAACATAAAGAGTTTATTATTTAAAATTGCATAACTTTAGACTCGATTTCAACCGCGACACGATGACTGATTATTGTAGGATCACATATGCTTCCAATATATTCATTTGAACCAAATTTATGACCCCATACCAAAACTTTGTATTACCTTTAAGATAAAATCGGCCTGATTCTAGAAAATAGTTGTATCCTTGTTTCTTTAACTTGATCTGCTTCTCATTTCATTCTAGAATTTTGCTTTCTCCATCCCTTTATTCACTTCAAATTTCTTTCACTTTACATTTCCTTCACTCTCATTTAGTATGGCTCCCCATCTCTCATCTCACTCAAATACCATATATACAT